AATTCATTTCTATCTACAAAATTACCAAATCCAGAAAATGAGACTGCGCAAAAAAATAAAAAAGCGGAAAAAATTACCTTTCATTACCCAGAGAAAAGAAGTTTCCGCAAACAAAGTCCAAAAATTGATGTTGTTGGAGGCGTTCTTTTACAAAAAAAAACTTTCTATATCTCAGTCACAAAAAAAATAGAACTAACCCTTATTACAGGAAAAGCTTTTATTTATAAATTCCAGCCATTGATTGGTTCCATGAAGCAGAATTTGATTAGGAAGAATTTACTTGCCTGCACTGGAACCAACATTCTGCTCTATAACCAGGGGCCGTATCTCTCCTGATGGAAAAAATGCGACAGGAAGCTTCCCAAGAAGGAACTCTACTGTCCCATATCAAAGGTTTGGGCCACATCCTATGAAAGGAATACAATACTAGGAATAGTCGAAATTATTCATTTAGATTCTTTAATTGGCATAAATATTTCGGTCCCACTTCCCCGTCTACCGTTTCCAGCTACTGTCTTGGATTTCACCGTCAAAAATTCAAACAGGAGCTCACTTTCTCAACAATCATGAATTGTTCTTTGAGCATAATCCCACAAGCTTATTCATAACGAATCCACAGCATCAGACGTATTAAGACTTCCCATTGCTAAATTCGCCCCTTTATAAAGATTGCTTTAAACATAAGAGTAAAAGCCCCATACTCAAGTCAATCCCTCATAGTGGCAAAAAAGTCCGACTCTTCTATGGCATAGGAAGCAAAAAAGCTGTCGATTCAACATGAAGTTTCAAACATTCACATCTTCAAGTCTCAGCAAAAAAGAAACGTTTAGTTTACCAGCCGTTGTCTTATGCCTTATACAAGAAAACTCCGCCTCGAACAAAGAGGAGTCTACGCACCATGCACCACCTGCCTTTACCCATTGAAAGTCCTTATATGAGCACGAGACACCCCATAAGAAAAAAGTAACTTAACTCGTCTCTCACAACTATCCTGACTTGAAGTTAACATGATTGTTAAAACCTAATTAAAGTTGACCAGAATTTTTTTGAGCGTTTTCTATGACCGTTGAGGTAAAAGGAACATGATTATCTGAACTATTTTTAAATCCTTGATACTTACCTTAATTTTTGAGTAGAATCGTAATAGGAATTATTTTCCCCAAATGATGACATAGAATCAAACCATTTTATTGTTGATGTTTAATAATCCTCCTGTCTAATGACATGATCATTCGTTTATTCCAACTTTAGTTTGAATTAATTCACCAGAAATTATTGCCTTAAAGTATAGATAATCATTGGGTTTACAAAAAGGTACCCAAAAAAGCAATAAGAATAGAAACATTAAAGAAATTTTTCGTTTCATCAGTACTTATAAATTTAGGTAGAATATGAAATCATTTAAGTTACCACACAAATTACTAATCACGTCCTTTTCCCACAATTACAGCTTTAAACTAATGTATTCACCATACATCTACTAGCATCTCAGCTGCTTGCTTAAATGAGGTGAAAGACGCACGGTAATCGTAGGCACTTCGGTTCAATCGCAAAAGCAAAATCGCTCCAAAAATATCGTAAGTGTAGTTCCGTGCGCCCGACACACCTATATGACACTGGTATATTCTGAATGGGAGGTGTTTAGAATGGGCACCCAATTTCATCAATATACTCATAATAAGGTTTCTGGACGTATTGGTTTACTTCGTATTTTTCATCCCAGCAACTATAAAGCTCGGACCATGGCAATGATGTGGTATAAGCGTAACAGTTTGTTTACGTCGGCATTGGATTTTTCTACTTGCAATTTTTGTAATACATCAATGCACTCCAGGTAATTTTTGGTTGCGAAATTAAGTGGCCTAGTTACAGATACTAGGATTCAAAATCCAAAAGAGCAATCTAACTTCTTCTGAATCACCCAGCAGGAATTATTGATTGCTGAGTATAAACCTCTTTACTCTTAAAAGAAATCAAATCTCTTCCATAGAAAAATGGAGGGGAGGAGAGGGTTTAAAACTGACTGCGGAATCTATAACGAAGGTCTTATTTTTGTCCAATGTGGCTCAGTACGCACCAACTAAGCAGAGGAGCACGTAGGACTCCGCCTGACTAGAGCAATGGCCAAGACTACCAAGGCTCCTCCAATGGTGAGATAATGAACCTCAAAAGGAAATAACAAACAACAGTATGCGGCTTGTGTAAAGAGTCGCAAGTAATGATAAAAAGAAAAAGGATAACTTCGTATTTATACACCTGATACCGTTGTTAATATAATCGACGCGAATTTTCGAATTGTTTACAACAAACGCCTAGTACACGGCTGCGTAGAATGTACGCAGGAAGTTTCTTTTGCTTGATGTGCAAATTCCAACCGAACTTGCTTCTGAATTCAGAGTGAACTACGATCGGAATATTGTGAGATTAGACTTAAAACTAGCGTTAGGACGCCACGTCACACACGTGCGTATGTCAGTATCATAACTGGATCAGCATCTCTAGCTAGTTAGAGTCGAGTCAACAGAAAATCAACTCAATGACATACAATAGGTAGAAATGATCACATCCTTGGAGCTTGAACGCCAACAAGCGTTATACCATGCTCAACTAGTTTCTAGCCTATCAGACAGCCTTCTGCACTCCGAACGTGCTCCACTCCTGACTCAACTCGTGATCACAGGATTCGTGACTGATTGACAACCAGTGGAAGGAAAAATGAGCCCTCGAAAACCAGAAGACAAAAGGAGGAAAACACTCGATCTGCTTGGACAATTGCAAGAAGGGCGTCCAGAGTAGGGAAGGAGAGGAGAGAAGTCGAGTCTATAACCAGGGCTAGCATCAGTCAAATCATACCTCCTTTACCTTGTCAAGAAGAGTTTTGGGGATATCCAGCTCCTGTTCTCTCTATTTAGTTGTTGAAAGACCACTCAGCACGTCTTGTGCAGTCCATCGATCACCAAGGTTCGAAGAAAAAATGGATCCGGAAACCATCCTGGTGCCGGACGTTCCAGCCCACTTACGAGATGCAAATCATGCGTGCAATCGACCCAAACGAACGCTGCTCTCCGTGACGACTACCAAGCCGTCCACCAATGCCATGACGGCAGGAGCAGTGGCCATGGTAGATCCACAAGTAGGATCGGTGGCGTCGTCGCTCACCATTTCCGGAGATTTGGCATGCACCACGGCAGCGTCACAGCAGCAACAACAACTGGGTGTCTGCTCGATTTCCCCCTTTCCATTGCTCAAATTCTCCAACGCACCGCTGGCCATGGCATATGCCGCAAAAAACAACAAGGATTGCATGGCCATGTTGGTTTCCTTGCATCCGTCGCATCCCAAGGTACACTGGAAGGCTAGACTGCCAGAAGCCACTCTGTCGACAATACTACGACTATCTCCCTGTGGACACTATGCCATTGCCGGAGGAAACTCGGGGTGTCTCTATATATGGTATACGCTATCCGGAGAATTGATACAAACCGTCCGTAGAGCACATTACCGCGCCATTAGTGCCATGTGTTTTGTGGGCGATAATGGGAGATTCCTAGTGACGGGAGGACAGGATGGAATGGTACATTTATGGGCGCTGCGTGATATGGTACAGTCCCAACAACAACAAGTCTTGCCCATTCGAACCTGGGCACAACACGCTGTACCCATTACCGCCGTCGCGGCACTCTCGGAGAGTCGAGTGGTGTCGGCATCGCAAGATGGAATGATTTTGGTGTTGGAAACATTTTCCGAACAAGTCTTGGCACAAATACAATTGCCACAAGGCGTGTCCAGCTTGACGATACGACATCAACGAATCTATGCCGGGGGGCAGCTGGGGACCATTTTCTGTTTGGATATGGATCAGTACAGTCTGCATCAGACGATACAGTTGGGAGCTCGTGTGAGTAGTGCATCCGATACTACACCCGTTGCAAATCAACATCAGCAACAATTATCCTATCAAACAACCCTGACGGGACATTCGGAGGCAGTGACTGCCATGGCTGCTTGGCGCGACCAAGCCACTCATACCGAGTATGTCGCCAGTGGGGATGCCATGGGTACCTTGAGGATATGGGATGTCGATTCCCGAGTCTGTGTTCGCATTGTGCAGCCGTGGAATGCCACCAATAGCAACACTTCCGTGAGTGACAAGAAGAAAGCGGGCCAGCAACATTCCATTGCCAGCGTGACCGTCATTGAGTTGCCCGATGAAGAGTCCAATGCTGGCCAAAGTAGTAATGATCAAGGCATGTTTGCAACGAAAAGGCATCGAGGAGCCAAGTCCAGATCAACGGCACTTCCCGAACTGCTGCCGCCCTTGCAAAAGTATCCCACGCCTCCACCAGATGCAGGGCAGGTGAAATGGACTCCCGTTATGCTCTGGCAAAGCAACATGACACAACCTAGTACCAAGAATAAACAGGCTAGGGCTGATATTGCCTTGGAAAAGGCAGAACGATTCAGGAATCCATGGCGAAAACGGGCATCCGAGAGAATCGACACAAGCTCCAACAAGAAAATGACATCCGACAAACAACCGTCCATTGAGAGGGGTGATGATGATGGTGACGCCATGGACACGACAGGCAACAACAAAGATCAAGAAGGAGAATTGCAACGTCTACGAGAACAATTATTGGCTGCTGAAAAGGGCAAAGACGAAGAGCTCCAGCGATTACGGCAACAGCTTGAAGAATCCAACTCTACAATTGACAGGTGGCAAAAGGTCAACAATGAGCTCGTGGCGAAACTGAAGAAGAAATCAAGCTAGTTGGCTTTGCACAGGATGGTGCTTTTGACGGAGCTAAGTCTTGTCGATGGTGCGGCAATGGTGCAGAAAGTGATTGCTGAAAGCAGCCGTCCGCGGACGCTATTAACCACTCATCCTTCTCAGGTGCGCTCAGGTGCGAGGTACAATGTACCGGTACATGAGACAGCATGCGAGACTGTGAAAGATGGCATTCGATCGAATTCCGGTTTGTTTGATGCTTCAAATGTACGACCTGTAGAAAATGTCATTATTTGATCTTATAAAAAACTCTAATCTAAATCCTGTGGTATCGTTCGCACAGGGGAATTCCTTGCTACTCTCTAAAGATATCCGTATCCTTCATTGTCGGGGTTGCTGTAATATTTGTCGTAGAACGACGGGTCTGGTTCGGCGTCGAGCTTTTCAATCAAGGCCAACAAATCAGCGCTTCCCTCCTTATAGCTGTCAAATCCGGGTCTATTGGAAAACCAGGCCTTGACTTTGTCAGGAACTAACCAGTCGAAGAACCCACCCCAGAAGCCCCAAATATTCTTGGGGGAGTCTGTCTCTGGATCCGTCCAGTCATCACTTTCTTCAAGCGCTGGCCCTACATAGGCTCCCGTCACAAACATCAGAATGTCTCGATCCATTGCGCTTTTTGGACTGTACAGACCCCAGCGGGCTCTGTTGTCCTCACCTTCTGGCCGATCAGTCATCTTGTTTGTGACCTTAAGTTCTCCATTCACATAAACCTTGTGGTTTTCTCCATCATCAAGGACTCTGATATCAACTCCTTTTCCAACCACATCTTGCATCAGAAGCGTCTTTGCGCTTATGTTCCGCAGCTTGACGTACTTGAGATCAAACGTCCCATCGGCGTTTTCTTCGAGGATCAGCTGTAAACTCCAGTAAGTGCTGTTGTGTTTAATCTGAAGCACAGCACCGGGGCGGACTTTCAAGAAGGTGTAACGTCCGCTCCATTCAAACCAACCATCCCCTCGCAGCCACCCAACGAGTCCATAAGCTTCAGACCGTGGAGCATTGACTCGGGAATTGCGGATGGTATCGTCGCCAGGGAAAAGACGAAAGACCTGCGTATTGCCGTCTTCTTGGTACCAGCGTGACATCTGATCCCAATCTTTCGGGCTCACGTGGCTATTGGTGACACTGTGAAGGGCAGTGGGTCGACTGATCTCGCGATGAGCGTACCTGCCAACCTGAACCGCATCGTGATTTACTTGGATAGTAGATCCATACGCCGGCCCATACGAGTTTTCTCCAACGACCAAAGTTTCCTTGAGAGAAAACCAAGAAGGGTTGGGTATATCCTCTAGATCCGTGAAGAATTCTTCAATATCCGCACTTGCTCTGCAGGAGGAGGCCCATAGAAGCAGAAAGAATGGCACTATGGTAGCTTTGACGATCATCATTGTGTTGTGTTTCGATACAGAAAAGGTGCCTCACCAACCAATGCCAACAGAGCCTCAACCAGAGCCAATTCCACAACGGTATTTGTGCGAAATATGAGGGGGAAACGATGATGGGAGTGCCGATCAGTCCGTCGAGCCGTCGAACCGAAAGCACGTGGTTCTCATCGACAGATTTGGCCGAAAGAATTGTACTCTGGATACCCCAAATACCGGTACATGTATCTATGAAGAGAGAATGTTTACCTCAACTTCGAAACGTACAAAATCTTGTGGGTCGTGCGATCGGGTGCGATCGGGTGCGGTCGGCTGCAAGCGAAAACGAAACTTTGGTGCGTTCGACCGTACCGGTATTACACATTCATCCAGCAAGACTAATACAACTGTTATCAGGTGTGAGTTTTACTTTGCAGTTCCGTGGGAGTATGGGCGCAGAGCGAACAGCCAAAAATTTGAGGAGTCGTGGGAGCAGTTGACGCCAAGCAAGCCCAAGCACAAGGAGATGCCTGTCCGGTGGCCGTGTCAATGTTTTGCAGGTCGGCATGCTAGACCAGCTAGTAGGGAATCCAAACCAAGGCAAACGACAGGCTTCGACTCAATGTTCGGCTACATGATGAGCAAGGCCACCGGTACGGTAGCCATGCACAAGCTACTGATTGCAATCAACAAGTAGTCCCTGAGTACGGTATCTAGCTATTGCTATTGCTTAAACACAGCGATGGACTTGAACGAAACGGAGATCCAGTGTCTTATACTCTGTTGAGTGGTCACAGTTGTAGCTCAACTATCGCCATCATTGCAGGTTGCACAATTACAACCACAGAGCAAGCTCGTGCAGTCAAATCTGATAGACCCATGCAGCCCATCATTTCCCTGGCAACTTATGATGCCATCTGGAATGCAGGTCCCATTGATGTTGCATAGGCCCTTGGGGACAGTTCCAGAGAGCATGGGGTTATCTTCCACACTCATTGTATGCAAAGACCACTGCAGCACCATTAGTTCCTCTGGAATAGTGCCTGAAAAAGAGTTGACGCGCATATTTAGCCGCCCCAGAAGAGTGAGGAGTCCCAGCTCTGATGGTATTGGCCCTATGCGCTGAGCATCATCGAAAGTCAACTTTTCCATCAGCTGAAGTTGGCCGACTTCTGTAGGGAGGGTTCCTGGAGAGAAAAGGTTTTCCCCCAAGTCCAGTAGTCTCAAAGATGTCAGATGGAATAGCTCTTTTGGGATTTGACCTGTAAAGCTGTTGGCTGAGAGAGAAAGGACTGTGCAAGATGTCAGAAGCCCCAGTTCACTAGGTATTGTGCCCTCAAGGGAGTTGTTAATCACAGAGAGCAGCACCAGATTTGAGAGCAAGGAAAGTTCTACAGGTAGTGTCCCAGTTAGTCGGTTGTCTCCCAAGGCAAACCATTCAAGAGAAGATAGTAGCCCAACCTCTGTGGGAATCGTGCCTGGAAGAAAGAGAAGCAAACTTTGAGTGACCAAAGTAGTGGGCTGCAGCCTTCTCTTATGACTGGAATATTTGCATTTGAAATGAATCTACTTACCAGTCAAATCGCATAGCATTACTAACCACCTCAAATTGGACAAAGCACCTATGGCAGATGGAATGCTTCCACGCAAGTTCGGATTGTCAGTGAAGGATAGTGTTTGAAGCTTCGTGAGTTGCCAAATTTCATTGGGAATTCGACCCTCCAGGAGATTATTGTTCACACCAAAAACTTGTAGTTGAGTCAAGAGACCAATTTCTGTGGGCACGGTACCGCCAAGCATAATCTCGAACATGACCAATCCACGTAGATCTTGCAGGTGGCCAATATGAGTGGAGATGGTGCTCCCCTGCAATCCTGGGTTCATTGCCAATGAGACTGTTTGAAGAGAGGTTAATAGATACAGCTCTCGTGGCAGCTGGCCAACAAGATTATTTTGGTCCAGCCATAGATTGGTGTAATGGCCATTGGAATCACACGATGTGGGCATGGGAGGTTCAAAATTAGCCAAATACCCAGGATAGACATACTGAAGAGTATCCTTGCTGGCAAAGTTGTTCTTGTTATACCAAGCACACTCATGGACACTGTGGTTGAGCCAGTTGGAGTTTTCTGCCCACTTTTCTCCCGATGTGGAATGATAGAGTGTGGCCAGAGCAAAACGCTGCTGGATCCGCTCATTTGGCAAGGTTGTGTCACCGTCAAGGATCCAGTGAAGGGCCTTGAACTGTGATGACTGGGGATTCTGAATATCCCCAATGGAGTGATCTGGTAGCAAGGACAACACGTGGTCTTCAAAGGAAAGTGTGGACGTTGGGGCTGGAGAGGGGCTGGAAGTTGGATGCATAGTGTCGTCGATGACAATAACATAGCTTGGGTTGGTTGGTTTGCACAAAGCAGCAACCAAGACCGCAATGAGAGCAATCATCAAAATAACTGCCAGTAGAATGTTCCGTTTGAAAGCAACAGTCTTCTCATTTCGTTGTCTGGATGCTTCAAAATTGTAGTCTTGTGCTGTTGGTAAGTCTATGGGATTGTGGACATCCTGTCCTTGGACCGGATTGGCCACTGCCAAACCATCGGTCCCGTTCTCGGCAGCAGGCATACGATTCTGAAGCTGTTCTTGTGGTGGACGGCGTTGCTGAACAACTGGATTCTCCTCATCTGTTCCAGTGCCTGCTTGGGCATATGCTCCTGGGATGATATCCGGGTATTCATCTGTAGTTATGACGTGCTGATGTTTGTGCATCTGCTGTCCCTTCTTGTGCTGGTCCACAGCACGGCAAGTTCTTGGTACATCCTTGACAATACTGCCTCTTATAAAATCCAGAGCTTCTCCTTCCTTGTCCAATTGGGCAGCATCGGTATTGTTGCCGGTTCCTACCAACACCGAAATGTGATTCCCTTCCAAGGCACTGTGTGCCTCTTCTTCTAACTGCCACCGCCTAGCTCTCTTAGCAACAATCTCCAAAATGGTGGGTTCCTCTTCATTGTCGTTGCCGTTGCCGTTGCCATTGTCCTCGCTCATCGTATCGTCTTGGCTTTGTTGGGGTGATTTGCTTGTTGTATTTGCTGCGTTGTGTTTTGTGCTTTGTGTTTGCTGCTTTGTGAGATCTCGCGCCTTGTGTAGTTCTTTGTGTTTGTGCTTTCGGGGAGGGAGGATTTGGGACGGCGAGGCAAATGGAGTTGCGGGAATACCGTATATATTTACCTATTTTCCCAAGAATTAATGAAAAAAAGAATGACTGAATGTAGAAGAATGACATAGTCTAGATGACTCTACGTCAAATCACGTAGCAACTAGTAACAGGAGACATAATCTGGAAGAAAGTAGCAATTTGGAAGCTTTTTGGAATTGAATAGCAAGACTCAAAGTGAAAGAATAGCCCTCTCTAGCAGTTTTACCAGAAGAAACTGCTCTAAAAGCCCATTACCCGCAACTTTCGATGCGCCGATTCGGATTCGATTCGGATTCACTTTCTTGTCCCATGCGGCACCGGTACTGTACCACTACTAATTATTGCATTATTGGGCCACTAGCTAGCTAGCTAGAGGTCAGGAACTATGTATGAAGAATGATGCGATTCCATGGCTTACTGTTGATGAAACGAATGAACGGCTAAGCCTGGCTATCAAGATAGCTCAAGATCGAGCTGGATTTCTTGGATGAAAGTGCAGTCGTCGACGAGATTTAACCAAAAGAATCGATTGAATCAAGGGGTTGAGAACACAAAGCGACCAGGGACGCACTCTTCCGGTGTCTTTCTTGTCTTTTTTGCATACGACTGTACACGGAATCTACTCAATAATTCATTTCGCCTACAGCCGTAAAATAAATAAATGTTACTTCCTATATATATTTATTCCTGCTGTGGATCACTTAGGAAGCATTAGTTCCGCAACCGAATTCACCACTGTAAGTCTTTCCTTGTTCACTTACTTTCTTGTTCACCTTGGTCACGTTGTTGGTGTCAGTCTGGCCTTCGCACCCAGCACCAAGCAACCACCCACCAAAGCAGAGACACCAAAAGGAAAGATAATGATAATCGGGATTACAGTACGGTACTAGCTAGTACATTCACAGCATCAGCGAGAAGATGGGCAAGCACCGTAGCGGCAAGAAGAGGCAGCGTGGATCGGATCCACAGCCACTGCTGAATCTTGACGTTGGTGGTGTATCAGCATCAGCTGCAGTGGGAGGAGAGTCCATTGAGAGTTGTTTGGCCGATTTGGAAGAAGCGTCGAATCCGCTCTTGTCGACAACTCATACTAATAATGAACCAACGACAAGCCCCATTACTACCAGTAATCCAGAACCTGCCGTGACACCCGTGGGCTACAAACGCCAGGAACGAGTGGATGCGTGGGATGCAGCTTGGTCGTCTTGGTTGAATGGCGGAGAATACCAGGAGGGTCTGTTGCCCTGCTTCGAGACGGAACTGGCGCGACACTTTCAAGTAAAGAAATTGTCTTCGTTCTTGCTCGACTCGTGTCGTGATTTGAAGATGCCCGCCTTTGAACGGTGGTTGTTGGACGTCAAATTGGAAGAACGACAGACGCCCTCCAAGAAGAAAAAGATTGCCGAGGATCCCGTGCTTCCCACGCACACACTGTTGCTGACATCCGCCTCATCGCAACGATTAATGGAAGAAATCGGGGAAACGGGGTCGGTCGAACCAGATCAAGCCCAAACGATTGTCCAAGAATTGATTCGTCGGACACAATCCGCATTGGTCGAAATTCACAGTCAACGCCTGCGCTGTGGCCATCAAACACCCGTCAAATCCGATAAAGTGGAGATTGAACGAGGCAGCTATCTCGTCTCCATGCTCTATTCCCGAAAGAAATGGAAAAGTCCCTTTATTGTCAAAATCACCATTTCACACTACGAAAAACTACAACAACGATTTCTAGAAACACACCACAAAGTGATCCAACTACACGACTTGGTTGCAAGCACAGCCAGTAGTACGAAACAAGAAAAGAGGAAACGAAAACGAGTCCAACACAGTCTCCATCTCCTCCTCATGGTCCTCACATTGCGATACTCTTCCTTCTCGGGTGGACAACTCTTGGATGACTTTCGAGGTGGTGGAATGCAGGGCGCCATTAACGAACAGGGATTTGACGTTCTGAAAGAATTCTTTCCCGTTGTATTTGAATGCTTTGCATCCCCTCTCAATGTCACATTGCCCTTTTTTGCATCGGCATTTGAACCCATGTTGGATTGGCACTTTGGATCCGTCGGAGATTTGGCACTCTGCGACTCATTCCAAGACGGTGTTTGTGGAGAAGCCAATCCTCCCTTTACACCGGCGTACATGGAGTTTTTGTCCCAGTATATTTCCCATCAGTTGGCCCAAGCCGACAAGACCGATCGTGCTCTTTCCTTTGTGGTGATTATACCATCCGTCGGGGATAACGACAACAAGGACCACAAAAAAGTCTCCAGTGCCGTCAAACGATTTGCGGCACGGGCGCACAATGACATGTGCCACAGCAAACGGTGCACTCTGCACATTGTACTGCCCGCCAAGGAACATGGATATGTGGAAGGGGCTCAACATTTGCGACCCACGCGGTACAAACGCAGTCTCTATGACACCAGTGTCATTCTGTTGCAGAGTCAGGCCGCACAAGGAAATAATAATTTCGACAAGACACTGTTTGAAGAGAAGATTCGACTGGCATTTGCAGAACGACACTCGGAAGAACATCAAAAGCGCCAAAAGGTAGAAGAATGAATGAATGAATGAATGAGCGAACGAACCATTCGACCACGGACTGATATTCCCAACCATCGCTCCTCTATTCCTAGTCACTTCAGCAGTACCATCTTTTGAAATGAATAGACGACAAAGGTAAACCTTTAGTATTCATCCATCCTTAGGCTCTGTCGAATGATTGTATTAGTCTAGTATTGGGGAACTGTATTGGATCTTGTGTCGCAACGGAATTGGACTTCCCATTCACCAACCCAGAACTGCTGGGAACTAAACACTGAATTGCGCAGCCATAGCACCGTGGGGATTGCGCAGCCATAGCACGGTGGCCACCCGCCCTGCTGCCATGTCCTCACAGCAGAAGAATGGTTCCTACGGTAGGCTAGCTAGGAGCGTTGCGGTGCAGTGCGTCATACTACAGGTACAGTTGGGCACACTGAAAGTAAGTTGGCTAAGAGTTTTGGATTTCCGAGCAGTACGGTTTCGTCAGCTAAAAAGATGGTACAGACAGTGTATTGGTATGAACAACGAACGCTCTTGCTATGCTGCAAAGAGATGATTCTATTTTTTATGAGTTTTTGAAAAAGTTTCACAGTCGTTCGCCTTGAAATAGATAAGATTTTCCAGCACATATCAGAAGCCACCACCGCACTGCAAAAGCCCATCCTCGAACGTTTCATCCGTGTATTCCGAGAGAAATTCGGTCCCGGCCACACTATAAGCTGGATAGCCCTTTTTTGGCCCGTTCCTGTCAAAGAGACTGTGACTGTCTCTCGTGTCAAACGTGAAAAACGATCCCCTTGTTGAGTGTGTAAATCGAGAGTCTTCGGTCTCTCGTGTGTCTGATGTGTACTCAGTTTCTCGGGTTTCTTCAGTTTCTCGGGTATCTTGAGTCTCGCGACTTCCCCTCGAACGCCTTGAGGATTCAGAGACAAGGGATCCAGAGTACGACAAGACATCCCTCAACTTGTCCTTCGATTGTCCACTGCTGGATTTCTCCCCGGTGTCCTTGCGGTTTTTGTTACGCCTCGACTTCGAAAAACTCGTGTAGGACGTTTCAGAGGAACGCCCACTTGAGCTTTCATCGCCGTCAAGACTATGATGAGAAGGTGGGGTGCAAAGCCTCTGTTTCGCCTTTCGGTAGCTATCCCTGGCAGCCAGGTCCACTGCTTCGAAAGCAGCATTCCGAATTTGGGCAGCTTCCGCTTCAGTCACCACAACTCGTCCATTGGCACAGACCTCATTGCCTACTTCGTTCACGCATTGGGCCCACGACAGTATGCCGTACTTTGCAGTGTGGTTTGTTTCGTCCGACATGACGTCAGCGATGTCGTCCTCGCAGTCGTCGCTGGGGCTGAGGCTATGTCTGTCTGTTTCATCTAATGATATCATCACCTTTCGTGGGGGTGGCGTTGGTTGTCTTGCGAAGCTGACAGTCTTTTTGTTTGATGCCTTGGTGCTCTTCTCGTGCGATTCTGATTCGTCTGACTTTGTGCTCTTCTCCCCCTTGTGCTTGACTGTGCTCTCACCAAAACTTTGCTTGGTTCGATTCAATGCCAATGTCTTGGTGAAGGCCTCCATGATATCCTCGTCACTGAGTTGCTGCAGCGCTTCTCGCCGTAAGTGAAGCCTCCGGACCGCTTCGAGTTTTTTCTCCTTCTCTTCTTCAGGAATCGTTTCTCCTCTTACCAAAGCTTCAGCTTCTCGCATCTTCTGTCTTTTGAGCTCCGCCACTATTCTTTTTTTCAGCGAGAACAGCATCATTTTCTTCGCATCGTGGACAGCCTGGGTTTTCTTTTGAGCCAGTTCTTGTTCGCTGAATGGAGTCCGTGGAACAGCTGGAGTCGGCGGCGCTAGTTCCTTCATGTCCAAGGGATGCTCGTCTTCGTCGTCTATTGGAAGCACATTTGGAGCGGAACCATCTCCCTCTTGGTCGGTCAACATTTTCATGGCATTGGCAATTGATTGGTTGAATGCGTAGGAACTGAAGGATTCCAACGACGGACTGCCCGCTACACAGAAAGAGCCGCCAGCGCCCTCTTCTTGCCTTGGAGAAGTGGGCCTGCTGTCAACCCGCAAATATCTTGCCATCGGTGGACGCCCCCTTCTCGAATTTTCCAGCTTTCCCAGTGCGCTGTCCAAGCTCTTTTGTGGGGGTGGCATTTCGCCCTTTGCCTCCTTTGCAGAGTCGTTTCGCTTCTTTATCGCCTCTGTTTTCTTGTCTGCCAATTCTTTTGCCATAGAAGCAAGAAGCTCCTTTTGCGTCAGACGCCGTGCCATACTAGCCCCTGCTTTAATAATACCTTTCAAAGGCATTGATGCCTTCTTCGACGAGTCTTCGTTCTTCTGTGGGTTGTCGATATTATAGTCCTGACCAATGTCGTTGTCTTTCTGCTTCCCTGATGTCTCTGAGGGAACCTTACTTGTCAAACTTTTCCCGTTTCTACTACTGGCACCAGTCCTAGAAGCATCCGCAGTATTCCTTTCCTCCACCCTTCCTGGTCCTCCCGGTGAGATCGGAAGGAAGACGTCTCCTGCAATCCCCCTTTCATCCTGCATCCTCTGTTGTACTTTCAGCATTTCAGACCCCAACACTTTCGTAATCTTGTAGTTTTGCTGCTCGATGGTTTGCTTGACCCACAAGCGATCATCGACGGACTGAGCTTCCCCTGTTTTGCTACTCTTCCAATATTTGCTGGTTTCGGATTCTGTGTGGCCGCTTGCAGTCGATCCGGGCCGTTTCTTTGGGCTAACAGCACGCGACCACGTTTCCATGACTCTATCCGGAACAAGCTCTTTCAATTTTCGCATTCGTAGCCTCCCTTTTCGTTTGCTTTCGTCAACCAGATCTACAGCTTCAACGATCATTCCAACTTGTTTATCTGGCATCCTGTGGACGTTGGGCTTCTTCTGAAGAATTTCTTGCATTTGTGGTTTGAGATTGTTCGGATCAACACAGCTTAGCCCCTTGTCAAAGCGCACAGTATCAGCTCGATGTTGTTTGGGGAGTCGCTTAGGCAGTCGTTTCGGGAGTTTCTTGATTGTTAGTAATGAATTCGGTTGCTCTACTGGCGGAGTGTAAGAATCACAAGGCACAACGGAGACCATTTCATCAAGCCGTCGAGGTTGTTGTTTTTCGTTCACCGACTTGAATTTAGGCCTTGACGAGCCAATTGACTTGTTGCCGCTTGACACGATGAAGGAATGATTGTCGAAGGATCTCGAGGACCCTGGAGGTCTAGCACCTGGCAAACCCGCAAACTGTTTCTCCAAGGATTTTTGCTCGTCATAGCCTGGTATAAGGGAAGTCGTCATCTCACCGTTCTGCTTCGGTGGTATTATTGGAGGGGTTATCGACGACGTCTCCTGATTGGAGCTCTTGGGGCTTCCTCTCAGCGCGGCTTTTGCTAACGCCTGGAAGGATGCTCGTCGTGTAAGGGAAGACTGTCTCTGTGACATCTCCGGATTTGGCTCTATTAGTGTTGCAAGAGCTGCTTCCAATTGCAGCTCGACGTTTGGTTCCCCATCATCGTCTTTGTTGGAAGGAGGGGTTTCTTCGTGCCGATTGACAGGTTCGTCTTGAACCTGACTCAGCATGTGTTCGCTGCTCAGACAGGAAAGCGGAGACTTCAAAATGTCAGCAGGACTATACGTTGAGTAGTATGGCGATTGAATAGGAACTACGGGAACGCTACCGGAGAACGATTGTTGCTGCGCGCGTTTTGGCGGTAGCTGTGTGGACGGTTCCGAATGCTGTGTTTGCATTTGTTGTTGTAGTTTCTGGAGCTGCTTTTGCTGCCTTTTGTGCCGGTGTCTGTTCTCCTCGGCCTTTCTTGCTGCTTCTCTGACAGCCTGCTCTTGTTGTTTTCTCTCGCCAAGTAGCTCCAGCCTGAGTCTTTGCAACTGTCGCAACGCCTCCTCCTGTTGTGATTCCTGGGATTCATCCCGAGTGAACGGTTCCGGTATATGGACGGATAGTCCTGGCACGGCCTTCGGTGGTGGAGCGATCGATCGGGTTCTAGGTGTGGATTGACGATGATCAGGGGAGGGTTCGGGAGTGAGATCCACTATATGTCCCATTGGTTTGGGAGGACGAGGCGGCGGCGCAGCAGGTTGTCGTTGCCGCTGCTGGCCTCGTCCCATCTTGCCGAGAAACTTCATCTCGTGTTCTCCGATGCCTTGCTTCGGAGGAAGCCACCACCAGGCATTGCAGTCAAACAAGAAAGGCAACTGCTTCCTATTTCGACGGTAGACACGATGATCTCGTCCAGGGCGCTTGTTTCTTTGTTGCTTGAGCGCAGCGAGAAAACTCCTAACGCACAAGTCAGCGAACAACCTTTGCAAAATGTGAGTGTCAGCGATATCGAGCTTGGAGGGATCTCCTAAGTACCATAGCTTTTGACGCTTAAAGCGTTAAGTTGCTAAGCATCCGTTCGTGTGACATTCTGGTAGTACTTCTATTAATTCTTTTAACGGATCAACGCGTGTATATGTCACGTTGCAACAGATGGTACTCGGAGTTGCCATAATCACAGAGTAGGGTTAGCATTACATCGAATCTGCAATCTTTGATTGCATTCGATGACGTCAGTCCCAAGGATACGAAATCTTGCCCAAAATGCAATTTGACACTTGCAACACGAAAAGTATCGTAATAGCAGAGGAGATCCATTATACCCTTTATCCAAGCCAAGAAGTAGAGCCAAGCCAATCTGATAGATAGAACGAAGGGATCTCGAGTTGTAACATGAGGTCATTACTTGTCCTTACGATTCTCTCTCTGGCAGACTTCTCTGCTGCCTTTACGTCCCATTCCTTTCGGTCCACGGTTAGTCGCCAACGAACCAGGGTCAGTGCTTGCGACGAAGACAATAACGACAATGATCCTTCGGTAGTATCGAGACGAGAAGCTATCCAAAATGCTGGGTTAGCCTTGTCGTCCATGCTGCTGATACCGGCATCTGCGACTACCTTGTCGCCACTGGCTGCCCACGCCGAAGGAGAACCGAAAACCATTATTTTGACGGGGTCCAACTCGGGAATAGGCTTTGAAGCTGTCAAGAGACTCTCTGCCGACGGCCATACTGTTGTGATGCCTTGTCGCACCATGGAGAAGTCACTCGGGGCCATTCAACGAATTGGTTCCACAGCTGGAAACCTTGTGCCAGCAGAATGCGACTTGGCAAGTCTGGCATCCATCCAAGCGTTTGCGAAGGAGCTGCCCTCTCTTTTGGGCAGCAACAAGAAAATTGATATCTTGGGTTTGAACGCGGGGCTTGCGCGTGATACCAGTGCCGTGGATGTGGCAAGGACCAAGGATGGTTTTGAATTGACAGGTGTGTTCACCAGTCAGACATTGGAATGAAGGAAAACAGGCGCCTCCGACGAGAATCTCACAGTGTCTTCTCGTATACTCTTGCATGCAGTCGGCACAAATCATTTTGGCCACTTTGCCCTGAACAAGCTGCTCTTGCCAATGATGAATCCGAACGGAAAGATTGTCATCACTGCTTCTGGTGTTCACGACCCCGAATCACCTGGTAAGCCCACGTAGTCATATTTATGGCGTTTTGATTTCCTTCCTGATCCTGTGTTGATTGCTTTCAGGTGGGGCACAAGGAGAAAAGGCTACCCTCGGGGACTTGGAAGGCTTGAAACGAGATGGAAAATTATTTGAAATGGTGGATGGAGCCAGCTTCAATGCCGACAAGGCGTACAAAGACAGCAAGGTACGATCTCAACTGGAAGCAGCAACAGAGAACTGGCAGGCGAGGACCTCATTCTTGCTGTCTATTTTCTTCCCCAACCAGCTCTGCAATGTACTCTTTACCAGAGAACTTCAAAAGAGGCTAGAAGCGTCTGATGAAACCAAGCGAATCACTGCAAATTGTTTCAATCCAGGCCTTATTGTCAGCACGGGACTCTTTCGCGATCAGAATCCACTCTTCACAAAGGTACTAGCAAGAAATAATGTGCTGTATAGTGGGTCCATTACTCTCTTTGAATGGATGACTGACGAATCATGATCTCTCCTCCTACTATGCAGGTGTTTGACGTGGTAGCAACAGACGTTTTCAAAGTCGGGGAGACCCCAACATTCGGGGGTGGGACATTATACTATACGACAACCGTGGATACTCGTGGTGGATACTACTCTAGTGCGCCTGGATCGAGCAAGTACGGAGATGCTGCACTTGGAAACCAATTCGCCGAGACTCAGTGCAGCAAGGAAGCCAGTGACGATGCAAAAGCCAAGAACTTGTGGGACTTGACGGACAGTCTTATCGGCCTGTGACGCCCTAACTGATGCAAATCATCACGTGCGCGCAGTAAAGTACCTAGCTAGCTAGCGTCATGTAGACACAATGATAGAACTTTGTGGCCTACCGGTCCCTAGTACTCATCATGGAATGCCTGCCTAGCTAGTATCTGTAGAGCCAACCAACAATTCAAACTTCTGGATCAGCCCCTTGGACAAAACAGTTTGAGCTACGCCCACTACGAGTAGCAAGACCTGCACTGCACAACTCGTCGAGTCCAGGACTGTTTGCTTTTCGATGAAGTCCAACCCAAAAAATGGGGCAAGTTGACCTCTTCCATGGTGTGCTTCCGCCCATCTCACTGACTAGCTGACTCCAAACACGCATTTTAACGTACTATTAGAACAAAAATAATATTGCACACCTCCCAAGCAATCCCATTTCCCTTTCTCACTCCTTCCTTCCAAAGACGGAAAAGCACCATCAACAGCAGACCAACCATGCCGATGGAATATAGCAATCCGACTTCTCCAGACGACAAAGGTCCCTCTCCGCCACCACGAACCCATGAACGATCAGAAGGTCATCATCAACAACAGCAACAGGACTCGTTACCGACCGGACTTCGAATTCTTTGCCTGCACGATGCCAACTCCAGTGCCTCCGGGTTAAAGACTCATTTGACCATGTTGGGCGACCGACTGTACCAGAAGCATGGAATTGATTTGGTATACATCAACAGTCCTTTGTGTGTTTCCGAACTGGATGGAGATACGGACCGTATATGGTACGAAACAGACCAACGGCGACCAGGTGAAGATTCCCCACAACAGGAACAATTGTTGGGGCTCGATGCTTCCCTTTGCTTGTTACAGCAGATCTGGAAAAGCATGCCATTTTGGGGCATTCTAGGCATTGGCCAAGGAGCTGCCATTGGGTCCTTGTTGTCGCTGCTGCCGGAAGTCAAACCGAGGGCTAAATTTGGAATTTTTATTCAGGGTGAAGCTTTGATTCAAGAAGCAGAACAATTGGTGGATGCGGGTGATGACTGGTCTTGTTTGCACATTATTGGTAAGTGACAGCCATGGTAGAGCGCTGGGACATTTTTTGGGATGTTTGATGAAAACCAAAATAGGAAGAGACAGCTCACTTTTAAAACCGCACCCATCTCTTCCTTCTGTTGCTTCCAAAGACCCTGATGTCAAGACAGGGACAGGAGGACGGCTAATCCAGCAATTTGGTGGCGCCGTGCACAAAGTTAGTAGGAATGGAGAAGCGGGATATTCCAAGAAAGCGCTGAACATTATTGGAAAGGTATGAAAACCTGTTCCTGTGTTGTTTTACGCCTTTTCGTAATTCCACCACCATCTCAATCCGTGGAACGTATCTATTATATCACTGGTCCACCCACACCCATACTACAGTTTATTATTGACCAAAAGAAAAAGATGCGACAACACGGGGAAAGCCAGGCACTGGCACTGCAAAATCAACTTCACATTGTGGAACAACAAGCCTCTCGGTTGATTGCACAACGGATTGCGGAAAATCCTCCCAATGTTCTCATGGCAGTGGTAGCACCCAAAGAAGTGGCAGCTGGTGGCATGAAACGAAGAGGACCAGGTGAAGAAGGAGGCGGTGCTCCCTGTCCTCCGGAATTCTTGCTGAGACGGGATACCCGGGCAGATCTCGATGCTCATGGGACTTCCAGTCGCATGCATCCAGAAGAACAACGCAAAAACAACAACAACACCAGTAGCAACAACGAGGACGGCAACAGCTCCAGCCAACCAAAGTAATTTGAGCGCTGTCGTCAATACACACGATAACTAGTCAACGACGAAGAAACCTGGCTTGCAATCTACAGTACTACGTTGGCCAGCAAACGTAATCTCGACGCCTTTCGTTCTTGCCATTTTAAAAAGGGATGAACATAAGCTAGCGCGAATACCGGTAGGAACAAATCAAGATCTTCGGTTCAGGGCTGCCTATTGAACTTGGTGGAAGAGAGGGAATGCCGACTCCTGACGCAAGAGGTATCTCCATGTACGTAGGATTAGGACTCTGAAAATTTGATGAGGACGATAGTTTATTGGGAACTTGAGGGAAACGCCCGTCGAAAGCTACTTTTATGGCCGAACGTCCTAGTAGATAGACCTACAAGTTCGTCGATAGAAGATAGACCTAAAAGTTCGTCGATAGAAATTCTTTTTCTTTTAATAATACTCTATCGCATTCCATGGGACCCCGAAACCGGTGTCCCCATCATGAGGTCACCCCTATTCGCCAGACTGCCACCCGCCGTTGATGACTGTGATTGCTCACCTGGCATTCGACTAGTATCATTGGCCGCCATCATTCCATACTCGACGTAATCCGGCCGTTCACATGCTCTATACTCTTCCATCAGATCCACCACCGTCTCTCGTGCATGATCAAATTCATCGAGTGAATCTTGAAACATGGGTTCTCGTCGATAATTGTCCAAAAATGCATTGCGACTCTTGATGCGATCGTATTGATGCAACAGTCGATCCATCAATTCCGCCATGGAGGTGTGATTGGCCAATAAAAAGCCACTTACCTTGTGCGGGGATTCCAAATAGGGCGATTTGCGTGCCAGTGCCACTTGAATACTGGCCGGTCCCCAGGGAATGAATTGCAACAATTGTCGTTCTCGAATCCGCTGCAATGCCTTGTGAATTTGAGTGGGATCCGTGTCACCCTGAAGAATGTTGAGAATGGAAATATAGCAACCCGTAGCGGACCGAGTATTGGCCGACACCATAATATTCTTGGGCTGTGTGAGTCGGCGCATGACATCTAATACAGTAGTTTTGGTCCGTCCTAGTACTTCGGAATGCTGCTGTTGTGCGGATTGTTTCTGTTGTTGTTGCTTTTCAGAGGAAGAATTGCTGGTAGGTACAGTCTTGGTGCTGTTGGCATCTCCACCACCGGCCCCTCTCCCATAATATCCCTCTCCAAATGGCGAAATCGAGCTTGTCGTGGTTGGGTTCAACGTGAGGGGGGTATATCCGGTCATTAAGAAGTGACATCTTGGAGTGGGAATGAGTGACGCCAATAATCCAATCCAATCATTGTTCATGTACCCCGGGTATCGTAGTGTAGTGGTGGATGCCGCCATGATGGTAGCCACCAGTGAATTTAGATGATCGACCGATGGATTTTCAATACGCAATCGATCCACGGCAATTCGATTCAAGGCTGTATTATCCAAGACCACGACAGCATCGGCATTCAGAATGAGCCGTTTCATACTGAGGATGGAATTGTAGGGTTGTACGACGACATCGGATTGATCGGCCCACGAGGGAAAGACGGAATACGTCTGCACCAACTTTTTGGGATAATGATCATTGAGTCGTTCCAAGAGATAGGATCCCATTCCACTGCCTGTCCCTCCGGCAATGGAATGACACATCGTAAACCCCTCCAGACTGTCGCTATTATCCGATTCTCGGTCCAGCATATCCAGTACTACTTCATGATGTTCTTCGCCTTGACGGAATCCAGAAGCCCAATTGTTACCCGCGCCACCGCCATCTTTTGCCACAAATAAATTTTCCGGATTAAACAGGGCATGATAAGGACCCACATGAGCCAGTTTGTTCACCACGCGTGGTTCCAAATCAATCAACAGAGCCCGCGGAATAAAATGCTCGTCATCGCTCTGGTAAAAAAAGACATCCTTGCGATCATCGAGCGGCACTCCATCCGGTGGTTCTAGTAGAGTACCATCAGGGGTAATGCCATGTTCCAAGCAGAGTTGCTTCCAGAATTCACCTCCTATTTGGTTGCCACATTGGCCCACCTGTAGGGTAATGATCTCGCGGGGCATGGCTCCGTGTGGACTTGCTACTCTACTGGTAGCTAAGTACTTCTACTTGCTGTTGCCTTCTTCCAACAACGATGAAATCCAATCTGGATTTTTTTTGCAGCATTGGATTTTGCTACGCCGGGCCGGCGATTCAGGCTTAACAGGCAATACCGGAAGGACATTGTTCCGATCGCCTGCCAGTCACAGTTTCCAAATTTATCGATCACAGTTGCGAAACAGCCAAATCGGCTGTGTGGTTGCCAATTGGCCACCGAGGCGACGACGATGAACTACACTGTATCCATCAACGTGGCTGACACGCAGCGTCCTTAAAACTGTTGCTAATCCCTTGTTGATGAGGAACAAAGAAAGTTTCAAAAAGAAGCGCCATCTGCAGAGAAGCTAGCTGCTATTAAAGAACACACAAAGCAAGCACGAGAGCTTCGACAGTCGCGACAAGCCACAACTGTGGAGGATAATACCACAGTGGTTGCTAAGCAAGCAACCAGACCAGTGATCTAATGCAACTGTAAGTGCAAATGAGGATTTTTCTAGTTGCACGATTGCGTTCCACCATGGCCGTTGTGAGCTAACAACGTTTTTCGCGTTTATCTCCACTTCACTTTTTTACCAGGTGGGGCAGGTGTGCATCCGATGTTGATGCTTCCTAAGCACCATGGCTTAAATGTTCCAATGTGGGCATATTATTTACAAGCTATGCGTGTGTGGCAAAGATAGATGTACCCTCCCTTTTCGGTACTGCTTGCTTGCTTCATCTACTGTATCTAAAGCTTCAAGCAACTATGAGTAATCGACTGAGTGCGTGGCTGCGATCACGCAGCATCATGATTATTTGGTGCTAATTCCTTGTTGAGGACCAAGGAGGCTCCTCACGGGCAGGTTCCAATGTGGACGGTTTTACAAGCTATGCGTGGCAAAGATATTGGTACCGTCCCGACGGTCCCTTCTTGTCCCTTTTCGGTACTGTACCGGCACTGTTGCAGCCATCCTCATCTATCTAAAGCCTCAATCAGCAACTGTGTGCGTGGCTGCTACCTGGTAACATGCAGCATGCTAATTCCTTGCGGAGGACCAAGGAAAGTTTCATGGGCAGGTTCCATTGTGGACAGTTTTACAAGCTATGCGTGGCAAAGATATCGATATGGTACCGTACCATTCCTTACATATTTCTTCGTTGCCTGCCAATCCCAACGGCAATCGGCCAAAGCAAGTATCTGCCGGAACCAACAGCTCCGTATCTAGCTAGTGGCTCTCGGTTGCCACTTTAGTTAGATAAATAAATGATCTACCTGGCAGGTACTAGCTAGATGGCAAACTGGCTACTCGAGTACTGTACTAGTAGATAGTTGGAGTATTTCAGTGGCGACCGTTGCTTCTAGTTTACGTTGACGGTAATGCGGCTGTAACTTTGGAGCTGCCAGGCTAGCTGGAGAGCAACCCACCATGCACGGTACAGAAAGCCAATGGCAAGGATGGACTAATGCAACGATCGCTTGCTACTGTACAGGAAGTATACTATGCAAAGGAAGAAGATAACTGGAGAAATGCGCAATTAGTTTAGCTTTAGAATATACTGTAATACTTGTAGGATATGGATGTTGAAGAGTAGAAGCTTAGATGTTGGTGGAAGATGGACTGGACTTGATGAATTCAGCAAATGTGAAAGCCAATGGGGACGCGGAGATTGTGGGAGACTTCCTCCAGACGGACCTTGGCCATGGTAACCTTCATATCCCACTGGGGGTAATCAAGTGTGGCATCGCCATCAAAGGAGACTCGCAGAACGACATCCTTCCATCGTCGGTCCCCCTTAGTCAAGAGTCGGACCAGTGGTCCCACCACGGATTCGACATTTTGATAGGTCAAGAATCCTTCAATGCTAATGGACGTGACATATCGATTCTTTTGCACTTCCTTGAGGACATTGACAATTCCTTCTCGTGTCATTTCGTCCATGTCAATCTTGAGATGTTCTTGAAAGGCAATGGGGAACTTTTTGTTCTCTTCTTGTGGTGATTCTTGAATGGCTTGTTCCAATGCCCGTCGCAAGTTGTCCTTGCGGAATTGCCATCGTCGATAGTTGGTCCCATCAATGGTCTCCACAAATTTGAGTGTCTTCCATCGACGGGTAGATGTTCGGACAATGTCGGTCAATGCCAACAAGTCTTCTCGCTCATAACGCTCAATAAAGTCTTGAAGGGTCACCTTGGTAATGCGTTCGTTGTCTCGCACAATCTGCAATTCTTCACCAAAAAAGGAACATGCCTTGGCAAATACTTCACTGCTGGTGGTGGTAGGACAACAAGAGTCCGTTTGTTCCACTTCGGATTCCACATGAGTTTGTGACAAGTCTTCGTCGAAGCAGGTGTGAGACGTTGGCTTTTGTTGTTCTTGGGCTTTCTTTTCCTTGGAGCTGCGGCGGCTCTTCTTCTTTTTCATGGAAGAGAGTGCCTTGGCGGAGGCTTGACGAAAAAGATTTCGGAGAGTCATGATGATCGATTAGCTGAGTTTTGAAAATTGTGAGAGGGAGAGGAGTGGATGGTCGTTTGATGGATGGTGGATGGCTGTGCCAAACAAGCGGATCCAATGTTTAATGCTGGAGCAGCGCAGCCAGCGTCTACTGAGTATCTGTGTTTCAACCGCTACTGTACGGTACGGTAAGTCTACGGCGGAACGGAGTTTTGTGAGCGTCCAGTTGCCAAAAATGCAAAGTACTCTTTCGAGGTGGCGTCTGAAAACGCATAATAAAGCCCCTCCCCTTCAACAACACACGCCATACCCCCGTGCGACACCATCCAAGATGCCAGCAAGACGCCATCCAAGATGGTCTCTAAGGCTTACAACTCCTTGCTTTGCAACCATATTCATGACGAATTCTTAGGATAGGAGGTGAATAGATCGATTTGTACTCTAGCTTGATCGGTATTGCTAATTGATTAAACGTCCAGATATCAAAGATATTCCAGATCCATTCATCCAGAGTTCGGATAGCGGCAATTGGTGTCTTGTGAGAGTGTACGTAGCCAAAGAATCTTTGGCATTGGTAAAGATCCTTGGGCTCACGGATTCACGGACGCTTTAGCGGTACAGTAGAACTTCTCTGTTTTCAACCAAGACGCCATCTTGGACCACTTAAGTGGATTGGCCAATTTTGTCGACATGCCCACTTAACATAATCTTTCAACACCATTGATCAGTACGCCCCGTCCTCAAGTTCACTTTACGCCCTAAATCACCTGCTTCGACATACATAATGTAATCCGCATAATCAATTCACCCCGAGGCTTCGCCGCTGCTGCCAGGAAGGCAGCCGATTTTAGAGATAGGGTTGACACGTGCCATCGCTAATAATGCAGAACGTTTCTATTCGCGCAGAAGTCGTGCAGCGCGACTTGGAAGTCGTTCGCGAGTCGCGAGCGACTTCCACGTGTCGCGCTGTAAGTCGTTCGCGATTCGCGCGATGTCGCGCTGCGCGACTTCCAAGTCGCGCTGCGCGACATGAAACAAAAAAGGTTGACCATGACACTCTTGACTACTATTGCCGCTGTTTCAAAGCTATCATCTACCTAACTACTGTTGTTGTAAGGGTCAATGGACCCCTTACGGCTCATATCGGGTCTGGGCTTGACAGCCATGGCTTCCCTCCGCTCTTTTTTGGCCCTCTTGGCAGCCGTTTGCATGGGATTTTCGCCATAGGGCAGTGCTTTTTCTTTGAGTTGATCAATGCGCTGCTGGAATCGACGCAAGCCAAATGGCTTGTACAGAGCAGCGTATTCACTCTGTTCAAAGAGCTCTTTTGGTGTCATCTC